AAACCGGAAATATATGACCGGCGTATGTAAACACCAAAAATAGAATTTGTAATTTTGTCAATATACTGTTAAAAGTGCTTTATTTCTGAAATTTATTTTCAATTAATTAAGCCTAAAAATGACAAAATAAGCCCACGGACGCACATTTGTATCTCAATGCCAATTCGTCGCACCCAAAATCTCAAATTTTGGGTATTGCCAAAGGAGTGGCATTGAGATTGCGTCGCATATGCTCTAGGGACGCTGATTTTTGGGAAAAAAGTAGGATTTATAGGAAATATCTCACGGATTGCGGCCATGACAGTGCACATGTCAATAGAGCCTTTGAGGTGGTTGGTGCTATGACTCGTGAGGAAGCGCGTACCAGTAGACGTAAAGTTCGTCGTAATTCCTGTGTTTTTGTTACCAAGTTTAATCCCAGTGCTCCTGATATTCAAAAAAATTTTCGTAAACATCGCTCTGTTTTAGATAGTGATGAACAAGCCAAAAAAATTCTACCGGAGAGTGCCATTCTTGTTTCGTATAAGCGTAATGCTAATTTGAAGGAGTTATTAGCACCATCTAACCCATATAAGCCTAATAAACTGGAAGGTGAAGGCTGCTACAAATGTGATGCTAAGCGCTGTGATAGTTGTAAGAACTTTTTGATTTTTGGCAATTCCTTTCGTGCAGCTGCCACTGGAAGGATATTTCTCATTTTAAAATCTTTGACGTGCACTTCCAGTAATGTAGTGTATCTTGCTGAGTGTGTGCTTTGTGGTTTGCAAGGTGTTGGCTCTACGGCCAATTTTAAGTCCAGACTAGCTAACTACAAATCACACATTAAGCATAAGCGCCGGACATGCAGTATAACAAATCATATAATTAAAATATTTAAATTCTGCTCGACCACATGATATAAGTTGACGAATCGGAATAGAAGAAGCAAGTAGATTGATGCAGATCGACAGGTGGCTGCGGTCAATGCAGCTGCAAACAAGTGTGTTTCAATCCAAAATTATTTCTCACAAACGTTGCAACGCAAACAATGGCGTTTTTAAAGAAGATTACACTTTTTTGCGTTTTATTTCCCGTTCTTTACGTCGTGTTTTCTCAAGTAGTGGCGAATGCCGAGTGTTTTTATGACTCGGACTGTTTTGGCTATTGCTGCGACAGAAAATATCCTGAAGACAACGTATGTCGATTCAGTTGCATTGGCGAGTCTTGCATCGTTAACAGCGACTGTGCTTCTGGAGAATGCTGTAATTCTGATGATAAATGTGCCACAGATTGCGATGTCGTGATTGAAGGTCTAGCTGCTTGGGTTATTGCAGTAATTGTTATCGGTGTTATTGTCGTTATTGTCATACCCATTGCAGTTGTTGTGTTTTGCTGTTGCTGTGCTGCGGCAGCCTCAACACGTTCTGCTCATGGAGGTGTGATCGTGTCACAACCTGCAACCACAGGAACAACAGTCTTTTCAACCCAACAACAACAACAATATCCTGTACAACAAGGACAACCAATGGTTTATTTCCCAAACCCTCAACCATATCCAAATCAACCCTCACAATATCAACCCGAAGGTATGGTGTATAATCCACCAGGGACACGCGCTGCTCCGCCAATAGCCACCACGTACTGAAGTCAATAAGAACTTAAACTGTTTCAGCAAACACAGACATGCACTCACTTCAATGAGATAGGATTAGCTAAATATAAACTAACAGATATACCGTAGATATATAGACATAGTCATAGACATGTAAAAAATCTTAGATTTTTCTTATATTCTACTGTGTTGAATAGTTTTAAAGTGGCTACCTACACTTTGGCTACCTACACTTTTCAAAAAATGGCCGACAATTTTCTGATTCGGACATGAACCCCCGGACAACAAATATTTGTTGAAAAACAAAGAGTATCTGATTTGAATAAAACAATAACAAGGAGTTCGGAGTTTTTAAAAATTTATTCCTGACAGCCGTTGCTTTGGCAACAATTTTTCAACATGGCATATATTTTTTGTTTAATTAAAGCTAATTTAACTCGAAAATAAGGTGAGAGTCCCCCATTTTTTATATCATAGCATGATTTCTTTCAGCATTGCTAAAATTTGTCAAGATCGGAAAATGTCAATGACGATTAATAAAGGCTCGGTTTTATACTATCAAAGCTTCAATCTGTGATAACAGTAGGAATTTTGCAATGTAATTTTTGAAGGATTTGTCAGAAATATCAAGGGAGTCTTTTCTGCTAAACCTGGCTCGCAGTATTCATATGTAACTCGCTGCAGTACAGGAATTGAAGTTTTTACTGTTTTCTTCTGAACAAAGAAAATTAGTATTCGCATGGGGCCGAGTAAAATCAAGAATTCATTTCACGCGTGTTTTCAAACTTGCGAAACTTTGAAAACACAAGTGAAATTAAACCGTAATTTTACGACGAACTATGCGATTACTTGTTGATCATAGAGGGCAAATTTATTCGTAAGTTAATTGTGAACTTGTCAAGTTCTTGAACCTCGTATGTCTCCATGTCTTCGCCAATGTTCTTTAATGCTGCCCATTTCTTAAATACTCCAACCAAGACATTTGTACTTTTTCTAGTGTTCAAGTTTTCACTAGAAGTTTTTATATTAAATCTTCAATGACATCATTATCCGCGACGACCAAGCGAGAAACATTGTTTTTATTGCTATTTACAGTCGTGTCAATAGAAGTGTTCCGGAAAATGTTGACCAATTCATTTCCTAACTCGAAGGAACACCTCGATCTGAACAATTCCTCAACAATTTGATAAGTTCCTTAAAAAGTTCCTAACTTCCTGTTTCATTGACCAATCAAATTTTATATTTCATTTTTGATCAATCTGATTGGTCAATGAAACAGGAAGTTAGGAACTTTTTAAGGAACTTATCAAATTGTTGAGGAATTGTTCAGAGGTGTTCCTTCAAGTTAGGAAATGAATTGGTCAGCATTTTTCGGAACGCTTCTATTGGTTCGACTGTAATAATTCAAAACAAGAAACTTCCCGCACTTGCGTATAGGCCAATCAGGTACAAGTAATTTTGCCCTGAATTAAGAAAAAAATGCCCCCCTCAACAGCCAATCATATTTGAGTAATTTTGCCCTCTATATGATTAAAATCAAAATACTTAAATGTATATCATTTATCATATAAAAAACGCTTAAGCTTTTAGGTCTAGTATAAATGAAATCAGAAATGGGAGATGTGTTCACGAGGTATTACAGTGCCTACACGGGCTTGCACCCTTGCCACTTCAGAATTGAAGTGTTTTACTAGAGTGTCGCATTCAAAAAACACTCGTGCAAACAATGTAAATCTTATAGCGTACCCAAGGTTAAGACCGAAAGTGGAAGAAAACTTTTGCCTAACAAGGCACAGACTGTTGTTTTTAATAATCCTCCTAACGACCAAAGACCGAACAGTCATTATTACGGTTCAAGAACAATTGCAAAAACATTAGTTTAGATTTTTAACTCTGCATGCTGGAACCTATACCATATTTATGGTAATTTATCCATGGATTTTATTCATTTTAGTATATTTTATTTTAGTTATAGAGTATAAGTAAAATCAAAGGTTCCTTTAATAGTTAAAGGTTATATATATATATATATATATATATATATATATATATATATATATATATATATATATATATATATATATATATATATATATATATATATAT